TAACCAATGTTTTCGACATTCCAGGGTTCGACACTTTGCACCTTCGAATAGTTCCAGAAGGCTGTCACGTACGTCGGCGCACCCCCATCGACAAGTGCTTTGCCGAGCAAGACCTCAGCACATCGTGGTGAAGTCGTGATGTTCAACCAGCTCTCATCTTTCGAAGTTGGCAGCTCATGCAATTAGTTCTGCTGAGACGATGGGATGCTCCTCGAGGATCTGTGAAACAGAAAAAGATCGTCGACACATATTCAACAAGATTGACTTTGCCGCGATTGCTTGCCTCAAGAAGTCATCTGTGGTTTGTGATCCAGTTGACCATGTACCATCTGCAATCTCCCGCGTGTCACGACTGACGGACAGCGATGACACCGTGCCATCATCAGCAATCACGGCTGTACAGAAAGGCTTAGGGTTCACGGGTCTAGGGAAATAGGGCTGAGGGTTTGGGAACTCTAGAGGGTGTCCGGGCCGTCAAGCTTCCCGAAGTGCAACGGAGGTGCTGAGAGAGCCCCCCATCCGCAAACCCTATGCCCTAAACTACAAGCAGGGAGTCGGGTTTAAGTAACTATATCCTGAACCCTACACAACTGTGCAAACTAAACCCGAACCCTGTATCCCGAACTGAAGCGCATCGGAGTGCACATTGGAGCGCACTCGTCGGAGTACTGCCATCTTCTCCAAAAGCCCTGAACCACCCTAAACCCTAACCCCCCTAAACCCTACACCAGCCCTAAACCCTGACTAAACCAGAACTTGGGGCCCCGGCATCAGCATTAGGTATGCTGTCACCAGAAGCACGGCCTCATCTGATCCGATGCCCTAAACCATAAAAGGGAATCAGAGCGGGAAGGAACGAGGGCTTTGCGGTTTTTTCGTAGTGGTGATCATGCCGTTGTCAGATTGTTCGGTTTCTGATATCCGGTAACTGATAGCAACATGAACGTGAGCTTAAACTGAGGCACCAGGCTCTGAACAATCTTCAACATATAAAAGGATATATCATCATTATTATTATTATTATTACTATTATTATTACTATTAATATTACTTATATTATTATTCTTATTCTTATTCATATTATTATTATTATTATTGCTTTTATTACTTTAATGACCCTCGAACCCCTGTAATCGTTCTTTCAGCCCGTGAGGCCTCTGGGACCCCAAGGTTAATGTGGACCCTCCTGCAACAGGATCTCTGGTCTAGGCTGGGTTCTTGTTAAGGAACTTAATTTAAGTTACCATAATAGGGATCTATCGTAAATAATAGGGTTTCCTTATTATGGTAACTTAAATTAAGTTCCTTAACAAGAACCCAGTCTAGGAGGTGCTTTTAAAGCCTTTGAAAAATATTGGTAGGTAAGATCCTCTTAAGCCCAATAAGAGCGAATATAACATGTCTCAAAGCCCTACCTAGTTTCGCATTTCAACAGCAGAAAACCACAACACGCATCCACCAAACAAAACGAACAAGGACAAGTTCCCCAGGCAACCCTAACAATTTAAAGCCTAAGCCCTAATTCCTAAACCCCAGACTCGCAGACCTCGAATCCTAAACTTTCAATCCCTCAAATCTCCAGAAAAAACAATTCAAATCCTAAACCCCCAGACCCTAAATTCCAAAATCTGAAACCCTGTTCTCCTCCAAAACAAACAATTCAAATCCTAAACCCCAGACCCTGAATTCTAAAGCCGAAGCCCTGCTTTGGGTTTCGGGCAGCAGTGAGTCTCCTGGAGAAGTCTTTCGGCCTGGGCCCGTGCGGCTGTTGAGGGCTTTTGGATTTAGACAGGTTTAGGATTTTTTATGAGGGCCTCTTTCTATTCCGCAGAAGGTCTAGAGAGCCTCGATTGAGGGTTTAGGATTTAGTGTCCGGGATGCAGGGTGTAGGGTTTAGGGCTGAGGGTTTAGGACGCTGGGTTTGGGGTTCAGGGGCTCGGGCTTAGGATTCAAGGCTTTTCGGGCCTAGGGTTTAGAATTCAGCGCTTTGGATGAGATCTTGACATGGCTTTGAGCTCTCGGGCATTACTTGGAGGTACATGGCTGATTACAAGTGGGGTTCTACAATTATACATGGTATCGCCGCCGCGGGGCCACCCCGCTCCCTCCCTAATCGTATCCCGCATTTGCTTGGGCCTTGAGCTTGCGCGCGGAATGGTTGAGTGCTTTGGTTGGCTTAACCCTTGCGCAGGTGATCCCCCCTCTCCCTAACCCTCAAACCTAAACCTTTAGGGTTTTGGGGTCTTGAGCTTTGGAGTTTACGCTCCCCTCCACCTCTCTCTGTGGAGCAGGGACCGCCGCACAGGCGCCAACTAGGAGAGAACGCAATGCACGAACCGTAGGAACCTGAATAAGTAGAACAAGGTGTTGGGGGTTCCTTATATTGTAAGTATAGTAGTATAGTATACCCCAAAACCCTATTCTGATTATTAGGGCGCCTACATCACACGTTCAGCTGCCCTGGAAACAGGACGGCACAAGCAAATGCACGGCTTCATGCCCTGATCTTGGCGGTCGTGACAGAATTAAGTCATAGGATTCTGATCTAGAAGCAGCGTACCTAGATTCATAACCCGATTTAGGGGACATCTAGCTTCACAGCCGTACTTGCAACTACCCATGGGCCTCCAAGTAAAGTCAGAGAGAGCCAGGTCAACCGTGGAAACTCCCAACGGCAACGCGAAGCTTTCTCAAAGCCCCGGGCTGCGAGACGTTATCACGTCGAACGGGCTCCGGCCTGACCGTGGATTTGCGGGCTTTAGGTGTCGTAGTATGCATGCGGGATTCGGGATACAGCACTTGGAGGGTCGGGGGACTTAGTAAGTAGGTAGTAAGTAGACTTATAAGTACCCTAAAAGGGACCCTGATCGGGGTTATAGTACTTATAAGTCCCTAAAGTAACCAGTTAGTAAGTCCCCCGACCCTCCAAGCATGGACAGGGGGGTTAAGTCAAAACCCGGAGATCAGGGTGTAGACTAACGCCTGGGCATTGCCTGGTTGTCGAAACTGCTTGTGGCTGTCGGAAGCCCTCCAAAAACTTGTCGTAATGCAGGCCGCTGCGTCAAATGAATGATTTGAAGCTTGCTTACAGTGGCCAGTGTACCTGCAAGAAGAGCAAACGATCCCAAACTACTCGGCAAACGCCCCTCAAACGATATCTCGGTTACTCTGACCGTAGGGTTCCTATGGCAAATTATGACCCAGGAAGATACCTATGATCCCAACTAAATTTGCTCACGAACCGCAAGCACCCTGAAAATCTTGAACTGGTCATCACTAACGTGCTGCTATAGAACCCTTGAAAGAGAGCCTGAAGTCCTTATGAACTGTCCAAGAATCTCCAGGAAAGCTCTGACGCCGTGCATTGCAGCATTCGAGGCCGCGACGACAGCTGCGGCCGAACACCAAATGTGAAAATGCTGAAGCCAATCACCTTAGTTTAGACTTCAGGGCTTGCAGGTTAGGGTTTAGAGCTCGGGGGCCATGCCCGTCGCTTGAGAAAGCAGAACCCCTGTAGCGGTGTCCGAACTCCCCGAGCGCGCGAGCCCGCAAATCAATACCTTTTCCAACTTAGCAGTGATACCCACTCTGAGTCAGCTGCTAAAGGAAACAAGCTGTCTGCGTCCGCACTGAAACATGTCACACCTTCACGCGAGGAGGCTTGGCTCGAGATCCACCATACCCATCTACTAGTCTAGGACGATTTCTCCTCCTCCTCCTCCTCCTCCTCCTGATCCTCCTGATCCTCCTGATCCTCCTCCTCCTCCTCCTGCCAACAGCATGCAAAGGGCTCTGACGGGGTTTCAGCGATAGCCCCCAGGCCCCAACATTATTGGAGCCCCTTCGGCCGAACGAGCTGCCGCAGAATCCCTCCGGGCCTCTTCCTATGTCTACGGTTTAGGGATTAGGTTTGAAGGCCTTCATCTGCTTAAATGTGCCAAAAGAGATGCCCCCAGCAGAAGCCCACCGGCCTAGGAGAAGGTAAGCTGCAAAGGGCAAAATCGTCTCCCGCAGCCACCCCTTTGGCGCCGCAGGTAGCAGAGAGGCGCCATCCTGGTCGTTCCGTGCTTCTTGTCTTTTTGAGCGCCTGTCCGGCTTAATGTAGGAACCTGATTAAGAAACCTTGGGCCCTTATTAGCGTTCCTTGTGTACCCTATTTTGGGGTTATAGGCCCAGGGTTTCTTAATCAGGTTCCTACATTAGGGTTTACTCGTTCAGGGTTTTTGGATAACTTCCCTGTCATCGCTACCGCTGGGTCGGAAGTATGTTTGAGCTCAACCATAGATCATGGAAGCAACAGCGCACTAACTATTCGTAAGAGCAATGGCAAGGGCTGGCAGTAATTTTCAGTCAGCAGGGAAGGCGAATAGGTCTCACGGGATGTGTCGCGGAAAGCAGAAGGCATACAAAGCCATATTCATATGCACAAATAATACTTTTAGCACATACCCCTCATCAATATGTGTCACACACACATTTGTTCAAGAGTATATTGCTCTATCTTTCTCTGTCTGTCACTCTGTATGCACATTTTTAAATGTTTTCTTATGCAGCACACATACACATGCATGTAAATGAGCATATTCATATACAGGCATCTACCTATTCTCCACATAGACATATGAGTGGCGTTGAACAAACAACAGGCCATTGTGTAAGCCATTGCCCCTTTGCGCCATGAAAACCTGACCTGAGCTTTTCGTGCTCAAGAGGTGCATGGTTAAAACCATTCTACAAGCCCCGGTCCTGAACATCAGAAGTCGGTGCGTGAGGCACTGGCTCTTTTCCGTATGCGGCTCCTCTGGCACCCCGCCAGTACTGTCACGAAATGCAAGCACAGCTTGCGTTCTACCCCGCTTCACCAGGCTCTTGTTCCTGGTTGTGTTTCAAGTCACCGGAAGAAAATGCGTTCCTTACCATGGTGAAACTTGTGTAAAACTCAACAAGAACCCAAAGGCTGATCCGAGCCAAGCTATGAACACATCCGATGAATACACATCTCAGCAAGGAGCACCTCTGGCTCCACATTGACCCGAACTATTCGCTAAAGTTACAGCATTTGCCATTGGCCCGCTCATGTTTGACCACCTTCCAATTCTGGACCAACTCAACTCGAGCTTCTCGGCCCTGTCGCGCAGCTCCTGGAGAGATCCCATGTCCGCTTGCAAGCTTCTACATGGAGAACGTCTCGACTTAGCCTCATTGTCAGAGGGCGCTCCCAAGAAATGCATGCCAAACACCTGGCCCTCCAACCTCTGAAGTTGATTTTGTCACCGAGTATACATCGCCGGGACGAAAGTTTCGACGTACGGCTGTTTAAACACGCACATATGCTGCGAACAAAAAGAAGACGAAAGTGTATTTTACGTGGACCGTGTTATATTGTTCTCACAGAGAAGCCTAGCGGGACCATGCGGGACCATGAGCTACGGGGGAAGCCGGGGAAGCTACAGTTGGCGAGGCGAAGTTTTGCCCTGTGGTAGTATAAAACAACTTCTTCTCGGGACGCCTTCATGTAAGGGTATCTGGTATTTGGTGGAAGGCTTTAATGCCTATCATGGGGCACGGGAGTGCCTCCACTGCTTTCTCGAATCCTGTTCCGCAGGAGTGCTTCACATCAGCCACTGCAATTGTCACTTCTTTCCTCGGCCACGTGCAGGGAGTCGGTAGCTGTACTTGAATACGTCCCACTTTACCCTTGACTCCGTTTGTCGATGCGGGTCGGTTTCGGCCTAACCCAGTTTGTAACGTGATGAACGGGATTCCGTAGACAGCCCTTCTTGAAGAGTTGTGTTTGGAGGTTCACGGGTTGTTACAAGTGCATTGTTAAGGAGGGTACTGTAGCCATACATATTATCCATATAAATGAAATGTAAAGATCTTTTAACCCCACTTATAACTACCCATGAACCTCCAAGTAAAGCTGACCTGACGAGGTGCTGATCTTCCATGCCATACAGCCTGACCGTGTATGCAATCTTCTTGTCGTTATCGTCGCGCTTCTCCGAAGTGATTTCGCCAGCAACGGCGTGACCAGCAACTTTTACTATGGCAAAGAAGGAGATGACACTCTGCCGCCTGTAAGGCAGGTTGTCCCTCTCCTTCCGGATGGTTCGGAACACCATGGCAGCCCCTGCAGTCTCTGATGCTCCAGGCTTTGAAGCAGGTGGCTGCAATCGAAACTTGAAACATGCAAAGTGCCAGCGGTTGGCCTCGAACGTTCAGAAAGTCAGGGCACTCTCTGGGGTTTAAGGTGTAGGGCACCCTTCTCAACTGTACGAAACCCTTACATGTGCTTTGTGGTTCGGGGCTTTGGAACGAGCCACGGCCATCTGGGGCTCCAACTAGCTGCCCAATCGGCAGGCTGTTCCTTAAAGGCCGTGGTGACAGCAAGTCTTTTCAAGGTTGAAGCGCGGTTCAAGGATCTTGGCATGGAGTGGGACGCCCCCACCCCCAACTCGCTGTGATTGGGGATAGGGTGGCTGCATTAGGCCTTGCAGGTCATCATGTGCATATTTGCCTTACTAAGTGCTGCTAGCACCCCTGATTTTGCAATTCCTTAGTTGCTGAGTTCATACGCCCCAAAAAAAGTATACACTTTTAGTGTTATAGTAGGTAGTATTTTCAAACAAAGAGTAAGGTGTATCCACTCAGCTACTCAGCAATTACAAGCAGGAATTCTAGAACCCTTTGAACTCCAAGCATTGGTGCTAGAAAGCCCTTGTGAACAACAGAACTAACAGCCTCAAGACCCTGTAGAGCCAAACCCTTGGCCGTATGAAGCCCCTGCACCCTTAAACCCTAAAGCACTTAACCCAAGCTCTGAACCCATGAGCACATTTGTGTGGCGCATGTGATCCTCTTTCGCACCCCGTGCTTGCTGCCAAATCACAGGGCGACCATCAGTACACCGAAAAGCCCGGCGGCGATTGCCTGACAGCGGCTTATGTATGTTTCTTGAAGGGTTTTGTAGGGTTTCGAATTTAAAGTATTCTGAATTGAGGTAGGGTCATAGGATTGATTGCAATGTTGTTTCTAGTATTTGAAGGATTTTAGGCTTGAAGGGTTCCGGGGATGACGGGGTTTAGTGTTTAGGACCATAGCGTTTGAGTTTTTGGGGTTAGGGCAGCGGGTTTTCTTGAACGCCCTCCCAGTATGGAGTTTGGATCCTTGATACGGTCGAAAGTAGTTGGAGGGTCGGGGGACTTAGTAAGTAGGTAGTAAGTACCCTAAAAGGGACCATATTTGGGTTATGGTACTTCTAAGTCCCTAAAATAACCACTTACTAAGTTGCCCGACCCTCCAAGTATCTGCTCGGAGAGGTATTTCAGGCCTCCAGCGACCGGCTCTCCTTGATGCTACCAGAACAAGGAAACCACGATTTTACGATAGATCCCTGTCATAGAAGTCTCCACCATTCGAGATCCCCTCTGCTGCAGCTTCGAAGCAAACTCCATAACAAGAGCCCAGTCTCGTTGAGTGCTGCACTTCGGCGCTGCTCTCTAGTGAAAGTCAGCACATGTTCTAAGAGCACACAGTCACAAACAGTAGCCTATCTATAGCCCGCTCCGAACCTGAATTTCTTAGTGCCTTTGTCCGACTTTGACCTTTTTGCCTAGATCCTCAACTTGAAAGCCCATTTTCTGAACCCTAAGCCAAAACCCTAACCCAAGCACGAAACTTTCTGAGATCCACGCCGGCGACGTTGGCACGTAGCGCCCATCCAAACCAAGCCTCAAAAAATTTGGTCTGTGCAGGGTTAGGGTTTTCGCAGACTTCGGGGTTGAGGATCTAGGTGATTAGTACCAGTATCCCGTTATGTTCTGGTCTCATATTACCTTATAGCTGATAAGGGACTACAGTGGGATACTACTACTAACCTTATAGTGCCTAAATTATGCGTTGCAGGCTTTGAGCTTGAGGACTAAGAGCTTCAGAATTTACAACCTCTTCGGCCACCAAACGGGTTGAACATTGGTGGGGGTCTCTCCCTGTGCTCAGCTTGCGTGTCACTGCTACTGGATGCTACGGCCCGAAAAAGGCACATAAGCAAAATTAGGACAGGGATATCTCATCTAAACCTCTTTAAAATGAAGCCCAGTGAGGTAGGGATATCCCTCTAAAACGCTTATGCTTTATGTCCTTTTTCGGTCCCTAAGCTACAACAGCTGTCGCACCACGTCCAACATCAGAAAAGCACGGGACCCATAGGTCTCATGCACTGGTAAAGCAGCTTTAGAAACACGGGCTGCGGTGGAGGCTCTAACATTTGGGGCTGAGGGTCCGGGGTCTGGGCTCTCTAGGGATGGGGAATATCCTTATGCAGATGAAGCTTCTGTACTTGGAGGTTCATGGGTAGTTATAAAGTAGGGTTATATGCCCCTAATATGGGTTATAACTATAATTTCCCTACCTTAAAACCACTTATAACTACCCATGAACCTCCAGGTAATTGATAGAGATACGGTTTGTTTGATTTCCAGGGCCGTTGATGCATGCGGTTGTAAGGTAAGAACCCAGCTGTGTTGGTTCTCCGGAAAATAAAGTACCTTTAACCCCACCTAGATCCTCTAAGTGCTGCGGAAGTCAGAAGAAGGCCATAGGGCATGTTACGTTCTTTTTCTGCTCATACTCCTAAATAAAGTAGCTCTAGGAGAAACATTGCCATGATATCAACCATACATCTCCAGTAGCGAGACTCGCTGGCTTTTTGAATGAGCTACAATACCCTAAGCCCTAAACCCCCCTAATGTCAAAGCCCCTTAAGAGAGAGGGGCTTGATTAATCAGGGGTCTACAGCCACTGCTACCGGTTGATGAAATAACTCCTGCATTTCCCAGAATAAGGAATATACAATTATTCCCATAGTTTAGGGTCCTTAAGGTAATGCAGGATTTATATCATCAACAGTACGCCCCAAAAGTCTGAGCCGAACCCAAGTACAAGACTACCGGGTCTCCGCGCGGAGGCTCCGTGCACACCGCGCTTCTGGCCTCGTTTAAGGTCCCTGTTAGGGTACTTAGAATGTCTACTTAGTAAGTAGGTAGTAAGTAGACTTATAAGTACCCTAAAAGGGGCCCTAAATTGGGGTTTTGGTACTTATAAGTCCCTAAAATGACCAGTTACTAAGTCCCCCGACCCTCCAAGTGACGGCCAACGGTTCTTGTCCTGCCCCGAAAGTCTGACTGCAAGGTGCCTAGCCCTCAAACTGCTAACTAGATCAGGGGTTCCTGTAAGGGTTCCTTTTGAACGGGTCTATAAGGATTACTATAAGGGCTGCCATATTAGGGGCCTTCAGAATTAGGAAAGGGTTTTGGGGTTCGTTTTGCTATAACCATATTAAGGAACACGCACAGTAGTATGAGGCCTCTATGTTACACCCTTAAGGACGAAGTGTACTTCCTAAAACCCAGTCAAACTCTGCAGACTAGAACCTGGACCCTGAAACCACCCGCCTCATAACACCCTACGCAAAACCCCAACCTCTGAAGCCCAACTTCCACACACCTGAGGCTTACGCACTCGTCTATCACAACCACAACAGAAGCATAATTTCAGAGTGCTAACAACCAGCAAATGTAACAGTAATCAGGACAGTAACAAACATGAATATTCTGTTCCACACCATAACAAGACAAGGCTCTTTTTCAGGCTAGGATGTGATGTCAATGAGGCAATATCGGGGCCTTCTAATTAGAATAGGGTTTGGGGTCCCATTGTACTGTAATGATAATAAGGAGCCCACAAAATAGTATAGGTAAAGATTGTGGGCCCCTATATTATGTGCCAATGGCTCCTACTTCGAACGGACATTTAGACAACTCACCAATCCCCAAGTGCTTATGACAACATTCAACCAGCTCACTTACCTTCAGTTTTTGTAAATCATACACTTTCCGTGCCATAGTCATATGATAGATCAAATCAGCACATCCTTACGCTAGGCTCAACCTAGTACTTGGAGCTTCATGGGTAGTTATAAGTGGGGTTATATTATATGTCCCAGAATATGGGTTCTACTCATAGTTACCCTACCTTGAAGCCCCACTCACAACTATCCATGAACCTTCAGTTGAAGGACTCAGAGAGTCACCCCCCATTGAGCTCCGGACATCATACTGGGCCAAGAGAAGCTGACGGAGGACCTGGAGGGAAGTGAACGACTCCTTCATCCCGGAGCCCCGCTCGCCACCTGAACTGCAAACCTGAAATGGGCACAAGCCTTGGGTGGGCTGTACTTACCATTCCATAACACGTTATTGCGAACATGCCTTGGCCTTGAGCAGGAGAAGAAGCTCAGTAAGAGAGTGCTGTAGGCTAAGCGCCGGCAGCCTGGACCAGACTGCGTTCTTCGGTGCCCACTGCTTACTGCAGTCCTGGTGCAAGGTCGTTTACATCGAAGGTTTTGAAGAACCCGTGTTGAACATTGCTTGGATCGCGGCTGGCTTTAAGATAGAGGCTTCAAGATTCACTAAGGAAGGAATGCTGTCTACTTCTGGGACTACCACGACCGCGACGACGAGTGGTGATAATTTGCAGCGACATCGCCGTGGATGACTTGGTGCTAGTGCAGGGGCCTCAATGATTAGAAGAAGGTTTTGGGGCCCATTATATTCTACTTTAATTATAATAAGGAACCACCCGAACTAGTATAGGTGATTATCAAGGCCCCTATACCATAGAACCCTACTATAGATCCCTCATAGACCCCTTAAAGGAACCCTGTTAGAAATTAAGGCCCCCTGTAGTAGGTCCGTGCTCGGCACCCCGGCATACGGGAACACGCTGGGGTCGACCCAGGTGCAACCTGTGAGAGCCGCGAGCTGCGAAAGTTACTACAAGGGTACTACTTGGAGGTTCATGCGTAGTTAGAAGTAGGGCTATAATTAGGGCAACTACAACTAAAACCCATTAGGGGACTTATAAGCCTTCTTATAAGATTTGTGGTTTAGGAGTTAGGTTAACGGTTTTGGGTTTAGGGTTGAAGTTTACTATAAGGGTACAAAAGTAGGGGTTTAGGGTTTAAGGGTACTAGCGGTACTAAGGTAGGGGTTATGATAGGTTACTATAAGGGTACGAAGCATACTGCGGTAGGCGTTATTATCAGGGTAGCAAGGGTACGAAA